ACTAACTTTTGATTTCAAATTTAATAATTAAATATACCTGCACCTAAATTTATGCTATCTTTATTAAACGATGCATTATTTGCATGCAATACTCCATCCTTTACTATTGATTTAAAATTTATTCCATATATGGTTTTCTTTTTTGTGTCATAGGTCAAAATTTAGTCTATTGATGATCTCTCTCCTCTTTGCATTCTTCGAAGATACTCAAAATCAAATCTATTCTTCGAAGATATTCAAATCTAAATGCTCAATACTTCTACATTATTTTTCATGAATTCTGAAACTTAAAATTATGCCTAATAACTTCTGCAATCTTTTTACTCATTCTAATTCACTTTGTCAACTAAGCTTTTTTAAACTATCTACAAATATATCTGCTTAGAAACATAGGAAAATAATCCTTTTTATAATATACTATATACTATTATTTCACTAGATATGTATCATCATAATATGCGACATATGTAACAGCTGTTAGCACCAAGATAAATTGAAAAATGAGATGATGGAATGAGAGATCTTTAAAACTGATCTGAAAAAGAATCATTTAAATATTTTAATCATTGTAACAAAAATCATTTAAATGTTTTAAAAATTAATTAGCAAAAAATTCATTAGTGGATGAACCTTTTTTTTCTTTTACATTATACCAAACACATTTTCAGAAATTTTCATCGTAGAACATTTGAAAAAACAATTTCATAGTAAATTCGGAGACCATTCATAAATTAAGGTTCCTTAAGGTAAGCATCTAATGTAATCACTAAAAATCCCGCTACTATTTGCATTTGTACCATTTTAATCGTGAATTATTTTAAACTGAATTGTTGATGATATGTTTTTCACATAATGATAAAAAGATTTTCAGTAAAATTACTGTAATAAGTTGTGATAACCTGAGATTATTATTAATGTGATAAGCTTATTCATGAAATCTAGTACGGTACCCATTCTTAAGAAGAATTGACTTGAGTAAAATTTGTAAATTACTTCCAAGAATAAATGCTGCTAATCAAAGTAGCAAAACGAAAAGAGCTTTGGACGCATATCATTTAACTGTACGCCTCATCTGATGTCAAATTTTCATCAAAATTCACTATCTGGAAGTTTGTGAAACTTTGCTGATCTTGTTGTCTTCAATGTTAACCTCCAAAAATATCAAATTTTTGAGAGTTTTTTAGAATCTGAATTGAATGCAAAAAAATCTCTACCGAACAGATAAGAAAGTTTATTGAATTGAAATATGAATATTGCATTGCTTATGTCTTGTAACAGCGATTTACTTAAACTGCAAATTCAAGATATACATATGTGTATTAATCAAATATACAGGTGAATTTATAATTTTCCGAAAATTATTTCATAACTTTTTCAAATTTTCTTTTAAATCAAAAATCTTCAAACGATCAAACTATTTGAGAATAGAGATGTAAATTTTGTAGAAGAGTTAATTCAATAGTTTCATTCATTCCTAAAATAAATAGAACATGATAATTTCTAGATAAGACAGAAGGAAGTATCTCGAAAAAATAATATTATACAAATAAAAAATTATTCGATGTTACATATTTACCATTTGAATATGATTGGTAATAATAATTGCATAAACAATTTGTTTATTTTTTATAATTCAATTCAGTGATGAACAAAAGAAAACGAGAAAAAGAGCAGGATTTACTACATTTATCATCAATGGTGTGAGAAATGCGAAAAAGTTATTTGTAATTAAATTTTTACAAAAAACAATTCAGTATTTGATTTGTTAAGTTAGTGGATATATTTCAGTAATAATTTTAATAATTGATAGGATACAATAACTTTGACGGATACAATAACTATAATTTGTATTACTAATATTAATAATTAGTATACAAAAACTTATCTATTCAAAAATTATCTTCTACTGAAGCTATTACAACAAGTTATTTGATATTTGATTTAATTTGTCAAACAAAAAAAGATGAATGAAAATTTTATTTGATATGAGAAATACAAATTTATTGTATCACACATGCGTCGTTCTCTTTCAATTTTTTTAAAAACAAATGGCAAAAATACTAATCATTTAAAGAATGCAATTTTGATAATTTAAATTTCACACTTGAATGATAGTTTTTAAAAATGGAATTTTAAAAGGACCAAAGTAATGGATGGATAATCATCGTTGATTGTTTAATTATTGAATAAAAGGCAGACAACGAACCGAATAATTCTTACATAGCAAAATTTAACTGCTTGGTAGTTTACATATTGGGATAGTTTACATATTTCGAAATTAATAAATTTTGCTTCACGAATTTCTGCTTATGGATAATGCAAACAGAAAATCACCTAAAAATTGACTTAGTGAAGAGGAAAAATCGGGATAAAAATCTCTAATCTCTAATGTCACTTCAACAACATTTCACCGTTGTTAATTTATGCTCAAATTTGAAACTTCAAAATTTTTTTCTAAAAAGAAACAATAGAAAATCCAAAATCAGAGATCCAAAATTCAAAGATCCAAAATCCTTCTTATACTGCAAAATTTAGATTAAAAAAATTTACACTGCAAAATTATTAGAAAGAATTATATGCTACCAGCAAAATTATGCAAAAATCTTAAAATGAGGCTTGAATGTACAGCTTTAAAATTATTATTATTATTGCTATCACTATTATTAATTGATATCAATGACTAAAGAATATTCAGAAAATTCCAACTGCTACAATCTTTTTCCATTCTTATTAGCTTACTCATTTTATTACATATAAAAAGTAAAAACTGCTGAATTTAAGGTATCATTCCATAGTGGAAGTTATTTTGATAATGAATTATCGATTTTCCGGAAGTTCAACTAAAATTATCTATGATATGGTAAAACATGCAACGATTAAGCAAAAATTATTTCAATTATCCGTTTCAATTTATTGCAAAATCATTTCTATTTATCCAACATATGGCAAGATATCATTTTAAAATAAATTACTATGGAAAATTTTGTATTTCTTTTTTCTCAAAAATCTTCACATATTCATTAATTCATTAAACAATGAATCAATCTATCAGCATAAAAAAATCGATGATTAAAAGATATTTTGTTATGTGATGAAGAATGGGATGGAAAATAATCAAATATCCTCTGAGAGTCACTGTAACGAAAATACGTTCATATTACAGTTAACCAATGATTACTTAATTATACTCCCGTCATTTACAAAGATAACTTCCACGAAATCGTATATTTGCATTGCCATCTTTTGAAACACTAATGAGCTTAATATATGTTGAAACTTGAAAAATGGAAAAACGATGTTGAAGCTTTCTCAAATATTCTAAAAAAATCTAATTGACAGATTCACTCTCACATTAGGAAATTTTTGAAAAAAGTATGACGTCAAATATCCTTTCCAAAATTTCACCTTATCTTCAAAAAAATCAAACTATAGAAGTGAGGGAAAATCTTATCAAAAAGAATACATGTAATCCGATTCACAAAATAGTGCTATCGATGAAATTCCTAAGAAATTAATGGAAATCCTTCTGGTAGAAAGTTACCGCAATAAGAGTGCTATGAGCTAACAAAAAATTAAACTAACAAAACAACTCGGCTAACTGAACATATTTTCGTATTAATTTATAGACTCTCTGTGAATTTTCGATTTTGTCAAGATATGTCCAAAGCAAATACTACTACTATATAGACGAAGTTAATTTTAAAAGTGCCGACATTCCAAGAAAAATGCACTTCCGAATTGGAATGATATTTTCGAAAAATTTACTTATTGAAACCCGTAGTCCAAATGAATACGTAATATTTTAGGAAGACTGGCATTTCAGAACATCACACCTAAGTTTTATGAGAATACGAAAGTACTTAATATATCAGTAAAAACAGAGAACTTCAGCTTATAGACAGAATTACAGACTAAAATTGATTACAAGAAAAAAGACTGGACATGTACAATATAAAAGAATGAAAATGACGGAAAAACGAACTAATAGATTACAAAAATAAGTGATTGCCGGATAAATTCAAAATCGTTGCACCAAATTACGATTAACTATGCTACATATATATAATATATATAATTTCGAGTACCGAATAACCTTACATAAAGTCACAAATTTCAAGAACGAGCGTCAAAAACTTTCGAATTTTTCCATAGGTTCAAATGAAACTAAAAAATTAACTTCATATTCGCATCCTAATCTTGACTTCACTTACACTTACCTTGCAAGTGTAAATACTTGTAAGCACTATAAGTAATAGCTCTAGTAATCTCATAGAAATTTTAAACTAGTAAAGTATGATTGGAGAGTTAGAAAAATTATTGAAGTGAGAAGTTATGGAAAGTATCGGCGATATCCTTGAATAATATAAAAGTCTTTCAGTTATGTCTACATTCGATAACAATAACAAGAAATAATAAATTATTGACAGTTTTGATTCAGAATATTACCATATCTCAAGTTGTAACCAAGTATGTCTTTTATTCTCTTATTCAATTATTTTTACTCCCAAAATCTTTACAGTGGGATAAATGAATTTTTCTTGGAAATAATTGACTTTAGAAGTTAAAAATTCAAAAATTCTTAAAGTGATTATCTTTAAACCTGAAGTGAATTAATATGATTTTGAAGAATTCGGCTTGCAAAAGAGCAAAGAAAAAAATCAAGAAACTTGTAGTTCTGTCCTAAGCCCTACTCTGAGCTAACCCACAAATAATCATTCTGCCAGAAAAATACATCAATAACTAAAACCAATGAAAAAATACCTCTCATTTGCATTCTAATACTTCTATTCATACCTGATACTCAAAAAAGGTCTCAAAAATTTTCAATCCACCTATAATTTAAATACAAAATTTCTATAAACACATATCAGTCGCGAGCACATTGTCGCTTTCATAATATTGATATTTTATACTAGGCAATTTGAAAATTAAGCAGTCAGTACCCTTGCAAAAAGTATGGTATTAGTAAAACGCCTACTCCCCTGCACGTAAATAATAAATCATAAGAAAGCATCGCCTTCCTCATCATCATCATCGCCATTTGCACAAGCCGAAAGCGGTTCATCGGATGCACTTCTCTCGTGTATCAGTGGACCAGAATCAATATTTAGGAATAAACGAGGATGAACCCGCGATGAAGACAATGAAGCTTCACTCCTCACTGGCCGAGCCGTTGCATTTGTCGTGGAGGATGTTATGCTGCGACGTGATTTCTTTGCTTTCTTCAGCATTTTAGCCTAAATATTTAAAACACATCTATGATGCAAATCATAAAACTTCATTTAAATTCTAGCAAAAGCAAAAATATTCATTTTTTAGCTTGGAAATAATAATGAAAAATGTATCTGAACTGAATCAAGGACAACTTTTAGCTGAACTTATTGCTGCTTATAAATCTGAATCAAAAGATAAGGCAAATTTTGAAAAATTTCAAGTGATATGATTAAAGATCTGATTAAAGTAGTATAATGAGGAACTTGGTAATAAATTTGCAAGTGAAATTTGGCGGTGACAATTATTATTACCTAGTTTGCAGATAATTCAAAAGAAAAATTACAATACAAGACGTAAAAACAAAGCATTTAGACTAAAACTTCAAAAAACGAAATTCTTAGGCCCTTGGATTCATCAATATATGTAAGAAATGCTATTTGAAAAACAAAAACACTTAAATTATAATTAAAATATATTTCATACAAAACTCTATATTAAGAAGAATTAAGTCATAAGAAACTAATTCATCCCATATATATTGAAGGGAAAATCGTTGAGCTTCATAACTTAAAACATTTTAAAATTCACACTACTAAACATTTCTATTTCAAAAGTCATTCTAATGCGAAAATGTAGATAAAAAGACGGAATAAATTCTCAGTAAATACAATAAATGAAACACTACTCCAGATCTGTCCTTTAGCTTAAGGTGCTCAGTCCAATTCGATCCAAATCATTCGTAGCTATTCTTGAAATCAGGAGTTATAGAAGTTTATAAAGATGATTTCGGATTAAATTTCATTTTTATCCAAATTCAATTGAAATTTCTGTGATTTTCAACTTTGCTATGCGTAAGTTAATTGCAAAAAAGCCATATGGCAATTCTGGCGGCTTAGCGTCATACTGAAAGAGATGAGTATTGCTTTCTGTTTCTCGGTATATACTTAAGAATTATGTTTTTGCTAATCTTCGGGGTTAAACTTAAGCAGATAATGGAATGAATGCATCTTAAGTAAATAATTAAAATGGAGCCAATATTGGCGACGATAAATAACAACAAAAAAGTTTCATGATTTAAAGGTGCCCCTTTCTTCCCTTACTATTTCTTGTGCTTCAGTAAATACCAAATACCTAATACTCACAGCCTAACTATAGGCATAATTAAATCAACAGCTATATGACTAGCATTGCAAGCTATCCAAAGGAGCAGCAGGGGAAGCCTTGCGATACCAACAGGAAAAGCGATCATGATAAAATGATAAACAAGATCAATAAACAGATAAAGAGGAAATACTATAAGTGCTTCAGTCTTTGTCATTAAATTCAAAAGGTTCCCAAAAAATTCATGTCCCAAAGAAGCTTAAAAAACTCGACTCTTTCCTTATCCTACACAATTATCATCACATATAAACAAAATTAAAGAAAATCTTTACTTTAAGGGCAGACTTTAGAATTGTTATAGTACCAGGCGGTTGTATGTGTGGTTCACCATCTACTTGTACTGGCCACTCTTCATGTGTTGTGATTCGTATCTACAAAAAAAGAATACACTGGAAAAAACATTTAAATATCGAGAAAAAACTTTCAACCCCGAATTTGATGGTTCTGTTCTAAAAGAGATGGAGGTATTTTTGATTTGAAGATGATAGTACTTTTGCACAAGCAATCCATAATTATAATGGCGACAGGTTCCGTTTCACTCAGGTTTCAAAAGATTTTGAATCTTTTGGGCAAATCATGCAGTTCGAACTACTAAGTGAGTGAATAGAAATAATTTAATATCGTAACGATCCTTCAAAAATGCAATATATAATCGTAATTAACTCAATCGCGCCATTGTTTGCACTAAATGAGAAAAAACTCCGATAATCTTAGCCGAATAACAGAATAAACAGTCTGTCCGAATAGCAAAACTGATCCAACATTATCGAGACTGTGTTATTAGCGCTGTTCGGCTAATATATAATTAATATAATACTACTCGTATAATTCCAAACTGGAATCTTCACCGTCAAGATTTTTCGGGTTTCAAGCATGGGAAAACTCTTACTTCCTACTGTGTCTTTGCGCACATTTTGCCATTTCTCCAACAAAAACATTAACTTACACTTCCTCCTTGAGCAATTCTTATACCGGCAGATAGTTTGGACTGAATGAGACCTAGTCGAGAGACATCCGAAATGCCAACTACCTACAAATAGTAAAACTAGCACGAATTTGCAAAGAAAAAGAATAACAATTTCCATATGGAGAGGAAAAAGAAAGCTGCAAATAAATTTTTTTCCAATAAAATTTCGAAATTTAGAAGTATAAAAGTTAGGAATTATGCACCAACTAATTATTCCTTTATCCTTATGACTAATAAAATTGGTAACAGATATAAAAAAAAATGAGTTAAAACTTATAAAGAATGCAAAATCAAAGAGAAAACTTACTTCAAGTAGTCCATCGTAATGTGTCGGCTTTTGAAATTGTCCCTCTTCCTTTGCTGTCCCCCAAGGATTTGCTCCACTCCCCCAACTGAAACTATTTATGCTCTAAATAAAGAAAACTGTTCACTGTATCTTAGTAGTAGAAATGCGGACTTACTATTTCAGATGTTAAAGTCCAAAAGCTCAGAAATCTTGTTTTTCACTGATTCTAGTTCATCGATTACAACTTAAATAATAAACAAAATAAATAAAAGACAACAAATAGAAGTTCCAAAAAAAGAAAACGGAAAAATTAAACAAAGTTTCACACCTAAGCAAGTTTAACACGATGATACCCTCTATGCATGGCAATTCGATTATTTTACCATCCACTTCTAATTCGACCCGTCTCCAAAGATCCTTACATGTCCTTTCAAAGAACGCTTTTTGTAAACCGATTTTTACATACTGCGTTTTATTGAACAAACGTGAACTGAATTTTGCTGGATTCGCATCCCTCTGAAATAATATAAACCGAATTTTACATACTGTGTTTTATTAAACAAATATGAACTGAAATTTTTTGGATTCACATCTCTTTGAAATAATATGTTACACAGAAATCTTTTGTGCGATCACCACGTCCTGTAAATTTTCATATTGTGGTGAAGGTTAGATAATGCTGTCGTACAGAAAGATGTTTTTGAAACTTCAATTAAAAGCAATAAACATCAGAAAAAGCAATAAACATCAGCATCTTAATTAAGTGATTCATTAAATAAATCTTAAGGCAATCCTTAATCCTGATATCCTTATTCTTTTTTTACTACCATCGGCCATATAAAAGTTTTATGCATGCGCTTATTAACTGTCTGAATTGATAAAACTATAGCTTCTACGAAACAAATAGTTCTAATCTGATTAAGAAGTAAACGAGACAGCTTTAACCTTATTATGAAATTGCAAACAGACATCTGCATCAATTCCAATTCCAAAATAATTATTCATTATAATCATTGAAGTTTGGTCCTCAGGATTGTTCATCATTTGTTCTACATCCGGACTCGGTTCAACACTAGATGTTGTTGGCGGTTGTGAACATTCTTCTTCGTGAAAAACTACTGCCCATCTGCAACTTTTAGTTTACCAATTTCGAAATTATTACAAATAATGATCAGCTCTTTCTGAATTCTCCTCAAGTCGTGCTATAAATAAGGAGGCTGGTAATAACTATTCCCTGTAAAAATCAGTACTTTCATATCAACAAATAATTCAAAGAAATGTTTTTCATTTTAATAATTCAGAAACAATCACTACCTATCTAAGCTTACTTCCTCAGCCTCAATAACATCTCGAAGAATATCCATAGGGTTCTCCTCACCGCCATAACCACCACCCCATCGTAAAACTCTTGCCAAATCGTTACCAGTACCAAGTGGAACAATACCACATGGTGGAGAAAAACATGCAGCATCCTGAAAAAAATACTTCTCAAAGCAGTGATTGCGAGAGCTGCGAGTTAAGACTTGATAAAATCGAATGTTTAATTTTTTGCAATTAAATTTCTTCTAATTGTATACCGGACCAATGATGAGATAATCAATGAGATAATCAACAACAGTAACCTGCTTGGCAATATCTAAGCACTGTAAAACCCAGCCAATGGTACCATCGCCACCGCAAGCCAAAATCTTATATTTTGGGACATTCCGAAAAACATACAATCTAAAATCAAGATGATAGTAAAATTAGATTTTGTTCCGTGCTATTTCGATTGTTAATAAAAACTTGCCAATCACATCTTGTGATGAATGAAACAAGAGTAAAAGAGTGCTTACCCAACTAATGGACCACCTTTTAATACATCGAATACTTGGAAAGGATTCAACAATCGTCTGAATGCTTTAATCAATTCACTACCCTGACAACCACCGCTTTTAACATTCACAAGTACCAGAAGAGGTTCGCAATCCGGTGATAACATGTGGGGCTAAAAGAACTCTAATGAGGCAATAAATTTTATCAAACTTCTTATTCTATCAAAAACTAAATGATCAATTAATAAATTTGAGCTTTTAACCTTCAGAGTAATATACTAATGAAGTTGGATCGATTTTTTAACATGTGTGTTTCAAATAGAGTTCAGTGATGAGAATGAAACTACTGAACTGTTTAAGATTTGTTCTACAAAGAATATAGATCCATATCATATTATCAAATTTACTATCGGCTAACCTGCACATTCGGAAGACAAAGTACTATTAATTTCTTTTCTTCGTAAACCGCATTATGAAGGCGTTGCACAGCTGACGTTGCAGCTTTTGCTGTATTGAATGTAACCACTAGTGAGCCATATTCAAAATATATTGGTCCAATAGTAGTGAAAGGCTTTTCTGAACAGAGAATTTTGACCGGAAATAGGTGAAGTCACCTTATCTCTTTCCATTTCCTCTTTTCAAGAATTTACCCATCTCTTAGTTTCTCAAAAATTCTTGTAAGAAAATATTTGAAATCTATGTTAAGCTCGAAAATATAAAAAGTACAGAAAGATATAACGCTTTATGTCATCCATAAAATATAAAAAAATACACAATGTAACATGTAATAGTACAAGTGTCTCCAAACTATAGCAAATGGTAACCTTTAGCACCCAATAGTCGTAAAAGAATTCTTTCATATTGCCTTTGAGCTAATGAAAGCGGTAAATTGGCAACAAAAATAGCGTGATCATGTGGATCCTCTTTTTCTTGTACATAAAAACGAACGACGTTATAACGTCGTAAGGAATCCTAGAATTTGAAAAATAAAAGACGAAATGAAATAAACAAGAGAACAAAAACAAAAATAGAAGTGTTTTTATTAGTAATAAATATCATTTTGCTTGAAAGGAGTTCATTTTCTGCAGAAAAATCTATTACAGTTTATTTTATCATTATAATGATGAAGCATGAGAGCTTCTTCCTGTTTTCATTAGGAAATTAAACAAAGAAGTATTTAAAAAATCGTTCCAAGCTATACTTTTCTTAAATTTCGCACAAGCTGCAACATATTCTCTTGTGGATTCGCAGTTCTTTCAGCAACACCAAGATCAAGTGAAACTTCAATTAAATTATAACGATTAGCTGAATTTCGATCCAAACCAAATCGATCCAGCGCTTCTGCCACCGCATCCTGAACCAGCGTTTCTTTTGTAACTGACAGCAAACAGAACGTTAGTGGTACTCTAGAAAAATGAACCAATACCATTGTACTTAATTCTTTTACTTCAAAGCTTTTAGAAATGAAGATTTTTCCGAAGCATGATGGGGTAAGCTAATTTTAGTTCAGTATGATTAAGTTTAAGTGAGGTTTTTCTTCGATTTGATTCCATATTAAAGGATTTCATATAAAATAAAAAGCGTTTTGTTGTAAAGATAATTCAAAACATAGGAAAGTTGTGGCGAAAGAATCAACTGAAACGAATATGACTTTTCATATAATGGTTTAATTAACGCTGTAAAAAAGGATAATAAGAAAAAATATTTTAAACATAACGAAGTGTAACAAAAACAGCACTGACTGATGAATAAATTAAAATTTACCTAAGCCAACCACCATATAATTTAACAACTGCTTTTTCAGGGTCATCTTTGTAACGAAGGAAAATTTGTGCACGACGTCCTTCCGGCCGCCGTACATTTCTTAGTGGCAACGGATCTTCAAGCAGTTCTTCCTCGCCACCTAAAAAAAAGTTTTAAAATTCTCAACATTGAAATTTATCAAAAAAATTTTACATCCGATTTGAGAAGTAAAAATAATTTTCGAACCTGTTACATGATAATTAAACAAATTTGGAACATCACAAGAAAAATAATGAAAAATATCTTGAACTGCTGCAAAAATTATTAAAAATACTCACTGTCATTGAGCACTTGTGTGATATAATAACAATCAGGATTGTCACTGATATGGAACCTCCTGAGTGCCACGTCCTAATACAAATTATATATGTGAGTCTACTCTCCATGAAAACTTCTCTAACTGAATATTAAAAAAAAAATCTCCATTCTATAGCCATAATGGGACATTTTTGTCTATTCCAGCCAATGAAACTAATTAGTAAACAATTAGCAACACTCTAATGAGTGTCTGTAATAAATGAAAGTACTTTACTCTACTCCTAATGTTCCGCATTTTGCGCTATTTACAATTTAGTCTGATCTTCAAAAACATTCGTGTCATTTTGAAAATTGTATCCAAACTGTTCGAGTGATTTCGGACAAACCATCCATTCTTTTTAGGCTTCCATTAATTAAAAGTGATTAAAAGCAAAATATTTTAACTTACTCGTATTTGTTGCAGCGAAGCTGTTTTTGGTACGGTGACAGTACGATACTCGTGTTTCCTAAGAGACCTATTACCATCAAAAACACGCAAATTTTCGTAGTCCTCTTTTTCTTTTACTTCATCCGATGAACTCAATTCGGAATCTTCCAGGTGTGTTTTCGCTAGTGATGACGCTGAAATTCAAAAAATAGCAAGAAAAAAGTAATCACTTTCTTTAAAAAGATTAAAATTGAGTATACGCCCTTCGTCGGAAAAAACATTTCTAACTACTTACTAAACAAATAGTTCCTTACTTGCAAAGTTTCTGCCATTATTAGATTAAATTCCACAAGAACATTTTTTTCTTTAAATCAGAATGAAGATAACAAAATAGGAATTTGCAGATCTATTAAAAAAAAGATTATACGTTGCTGATTAAAACCTTCCAGATGAGCTCCTTGAATATTAAGCAATTGTTTCATTGGGAGTTCCGTTCTTGGAGTTGTCAGTGCATTGGGTGGCAACATAATCTTCCTCAAAGTACCAAAATCGCACTCAAGAGACATTTGACGATAACAGATAGCATGAGCCTGAAAGATAACAACATATTTTTCTGTAAGTGGTAAATTTTAACATTTCCGATTCCTTTGTTTTTCTAATTTCTTACATCATATAAACCCTCTTCTCCGCAAACCATTTAACTTACTCGCCTTATGAAAGTCCTACTATCCCTTGTAACAGTTTCCTTGTTGAATTACTCTGCTGTCATTACAGGAAAAATTTTTAGCGCTCTGCATAGCATACTGGAGGCTTAATACCATCTTTACTGAAAAAGTTTTTCGACTTTTCGAATTTTGAGTAACTTTTTCGAATTACTCTCTTAATTCTAGTACGTCTGATGAGCTTTTTTCAAAGTAAACAGTAAGAAATGAAAAACTCTGAAAAATCAGTAAAATACAAATCCAGTTACAGATGAAAAAGTGATAGAATTCAGGATGCATTGTGTCCCAGAATTCTTCAAATACTCCATTACATTCCTAAACAGTGTAGGATCACAAAATGCTACCTGAGATATTTGAAAATCCAAAAAAGCTCACCGTAGCAGAGCACCAGCCGCATTTCATACCGGCCAAGCATTCGTAAGACCAACAAGCTTTTCCACATACGACACACTTAGAATCACGCGGTATATTGCCTTCCCTCATATGATGGTATTGCGCCTGCTTGCTCTGAAAAAATAGAATTGATGTAATTGCTTATTTCTTGAAACGGATCCACTGGGAATTTTCTCTTCTTATTTTTCTAATGAATATGTGGGTAAAGTAAAATATGTCAATTCATCCTGCTACTACTTCTACCATTTTATGCTCTCTGAATTCAGTTATAATACAAACAATTAAAATCGATGAAATCCTTAAAAATGAAATTTTTTGTGGCTTCTTCGTGTTTGCTAACCATGAGAATTAAGAAAGCAAAGCATGACTGAATATAAATAAACTAAAAACAGCTTTTTATATCTTCTTCATGTTTGGTATCCATGAGATATTAAGAAAGCAAAGTACTGAATCATTCACAAAAAGCACTATTTGAGTGCATCATAAATCATTAAATAAGCAAATGAGATTGGTATTTAAGAGCAAGAACTAAAGCCCTTAAGTAAATTATATAAGTAGAGACAAAGATTTCGAGACAACACCTTAAGAATCGAAGTTTGAAGTCTTGAACTTAAATGACCTTATACGGTCAACTTAATCTTGACCTTAATAAGATCCGAGAACACTCAACAACTGTACTTAATAATCATAAAAAGCAATAACTTTATTTAGAAACATTGCTGCTTTGGAATCCCCTATCATTATCGTAAATAAAAATTTTGCTTAATTTTTTTCAAAGCTGTTTAAAAGTTGCTCAAAATGGAATTCGATTTCATCGATATGTTTATGTCGAAAATTTTTAAAATTATGATAGTTCGGATTGTTGTTTTGCAATATGTTTAGCCATTTCAAGAAACGAAGAATAATTTTTTCAAACTACAAAAAAATCATTTTCTTGATTTCAGTCTTTTGATTTTTGGGCTTACGATGAATTTTTTGTTCTTAAAAGGAAGTACCATTCATAAATGCTGAGAAAGCAAAGAGAAAGAGGAAAGACTGAGAGTTTAAAAAAGATGACGAAAGCAAATTAAGAAAATACGCTTAATAAATAATTTGCTTTCGAGTTCAAAAAAATTTATAACGATTTTAACTCAGCATATGACGTAAATGTTAGCAAAAAAGTCAATACGCTTTCAGAACTTTGAACTCTAAAATTTCAAATTTGCAGCATAAATTTATCATCCTTTTCATCTTATTCCCTCTTATTTTCAGCTACTAAATGAATATCGTCTCGGCATTTATGTATGTGGATTCTGAATATTTTCAACTTAAAAAACAAATTCATATTTCAGAAATTCTTTTTGAAATTCTGGACTTGAAGTATTTTAGAAGATGCGGAACAGCATCTAGTGAATTTTATGTTTGATTGTTGAACGATATGATTAAAATGTATTACTTGTTTTTAGAAATCGATTTACTTTTGAATTAAAATAGTAAATTGGTAAAAAATCTCCAAATAAGCAATATTTTTATTCCGATTATAAAAGCAGAAATTACTTCATTAATCAGAACACTACAGAACTTGGAAGAATTCATCATCTTGATATAACAAACAGAAATTTTTTAAATACAATTTCCCAGGAGAAAGATATAATGAGAAAAAAGGGAGGACATACCTTATCCAAATTAGGTACATATGTAGCAGCTTCCTTGCAGTCACTTACTGCTAAATCGTGACAATCAACGTGCACGTAATATTCACAAACTATAAAGTAAGCAAGTAATAAATGAATGAAATTTCGCAGGCCGAGTATGAAAGAGTGGGAAATCACCATTTATTATGGCTGAAAGCAAACACACCAACACTACGAAGAATAGCTTATTAGATACTTCGCTTTGTGAATTTTTATATGAACACATCATTACTTGACACACTTAAATTAAAATTGGGAATGAAATTTGATGTACCCAATTAAATGAATGCTGCTTATTCCGCAGTTACAAGATTTTATGACGTTTATAACTTTGAACATTAATAAAACGGAAACTAATCAATGAAAAACATTGATCAACACTTTTGAGATTCCTTCTTAAAAATTAAGGAAAATTCATACACTCCCAGAGACCGTTTATGAACTACTTTGCGACATCATTTACAGAACACAAAATTTAGTTTTAAAATTCAGCTTACCCTCACATTCAACAGCTACTGAATCATCAGTTTTTTTGCGGCAAACGCAACAAAATCTTCGCTTGATATGTGACGGTTCAGACCATGAGTGAGCGACAGGATTCTGCAAAGAATTCAAATAAAATATAAAAAACCAAATAAGGTCAAAAGTTAGAAAGTACGACACCTAATATGAGATACGAGTTTCGGCATTCTTATGTAATTTTGCTCAAACAAAAATTCGACTTTATGAAAAGTGAAATCATGAACGTTATAGTGAAGGTATGACACTGCCATCAAAGGGAAAGAGAAGAATGTGCCCTGATGATTGGAAGCAAATCACAAAAGGATTTCACCGTTAATATGGATCCGTACCAAGTTATTGCAAGCATTTCGAGAGTAAATTCAGGTAGCATGTGCTATTAGAAATTTCGCTAACTGTTAAATCTAAAAGTGCATTTATGCAACGTTGGTAAGATGAACATATAAGGTGCAAATATGTTCGTTAGGAAAAACATTTTTATCAAGTAATATTAGTTGTTACCTTTATCAATTGCAAGGCGACACCACTACAAAATGAAACAACCGTTTTCATACACTTGTCGTGACATATGAAATTGCAAACTGAAGTACTTATTTTTTAAATTTCTTTGAGATAAAAAACTGTCGTTATATAAATTATTGCCTAATGAACCATTACGAAAAAGATAACACATTTCACAATTTTGGAACCAGATGTATTTAGTGTACTCAATGGCTACTTAATTGCGATTTCACTCAATAAACATGTTCCCATTTCAAATGCGTTGTATTTATTATATAAAATACGCCTAATAAAATTTTATGCAATAACATAATCAGTCATAAAATTAAACATAAAGAATTTTAGATATCAAAACTCTTCAGCCGTAGAAGTAAGAAGCACCTTATACCGTTTAAAAAAATTTTAAACTCAAAACAATTTTGAACTCAGTAACAAACCCTCGCAAGCATATCCTTGTGTAAGCATTCCCCATATTTTGTCACAACAGTGATGACAATATGTTGGTTTACCAAATGTTTTGCGAACAAAGTAATGGCCATGATCACGGCCAACTGCTAACAACGTTGCATCAACGTTATGTCCTTCTGTTGCCATAATATCAACATTCGTTGTACGCGTATTTGTTACTTCTAAAATATTAATCTCTTCAATTATTAATGAAATTTAATGCTAAAATTCACTATCCTAAAAATTATCGATCAAATTATCTTTCAAAAACAGAATTACTAAAATAATCGACAGAAACTGATTCGTTAAAAAATATAATTCATTATAAGATATATAAAATTATAAGTTTTTTTAAAATTATATCTTATAATTTTATAAGAATTATAAGATATAATTTAGCACAGAATTACCGAACAATCCCGAATTTCACATTTAATTCCATTCGTTCAGTCTAGCGTGAAGTAACACAAATAGAAAGGCAAATAATCTTTTTTCATTTAGAACAGCAAAAATCTAATTACCTTTGAGTAATCATAAATTTGCACGCGACATACAATGCACAATTTACAACAACCTTATCACCAGTTGCTCAATTATTCCCCTTGTTGCGTCGAATTATTATTTACACCTTCATTCATTAGCCTGAAAAGAAATTCGTACTGGTGCAGAATAATATGAACAAAGTTTTTTGCAGAAACGTGTATGAATGAAAAATGACAGTTTGGAAATCAACTTAACTGCCAAGCGAATATCAGACAATTAAGCCAGATTTTACACGAACTTATATTTTTTAATCAAGAATTAAAGATTAATTTCAAAATCTACTTTCCCATAATATATCACAAAAAATTTTGCTAGTTTCTGGCATTTATTTTCATACATTTCCTGTAAACAAAAAAATTACTGACAGGATAAATACTGACAGATAAAGGATAAACAATATGAAATAATTGAATAGCATATAAAATTCAAGGAGGGGAAAACAGAAAAATTTCCACGAATGAATGAAAAGTTGTGTGCAAAAGAATATGAGGGTGAAATATGTCAATTCTTCGTGCTACTACAACTGCTTCTATCATTTGATGCTATCTGAATTCAGTTACAATACAAACAATTAAAATCGATGAAATTCTTTAAAATGAAATCTTTCGTGTCTTCTTCGTGTTTGCTACCCATGAGATGATATTAAGAAAGCAAAGTATGAATGAATGTAAATAAACTAAAAACAGCTTTCTGTGTTTTCCTCGTATTTGGTATCCATGAGATATTAAGAAAGCAAAGTACTGAATTGTTTATAAAAAGTATTATTTGAATGCATCATACGTTATTAAATAAACAATGGAATTAATCTAACTTAATCCCATTGCTTATTTAATGATGTAATTTTAGCAACGACAAGATATTCCACGCTGCTTATAGAAATTGAAATTATTAGAATAATTTAGTATACTAATTCTATGTTACAATGCATAGTTTATATACGACAATGCATACAATGCTCCAAATGATTTCCATCATTAATTTTCTCCTTTTCATTCATTCATCTTTCTGTAATAATGATATTAATAATGCATAAAATATTACTGAAGACAAAAAGAAGTACAAGTAGGAATAATTCTTTATTACAGAAAGCTGTGATAACTGTGATAAAACAGCTCTGATAAAATCTATTAAAATGCTTATTCGTTCTGCTATTTAGTCTCAATGCTTTTGGCAATAACAACACTCATGTCAATTACAAGAAATAAGTTTAGCTACACTAAAAATAATTTTAAGAAAGAAACTCTAATTGCAATTGGTCCCTTAATAAATTTCGATTTTTTAGCATTTCAATTGAAATCATTATAAATAAATTGCAGTATTCAAATTGAGTAATAATTGTTCATCAGGGCATGATCGATATTGAACAGTTTAGAAATGTTGAATATCACTTCTCACATCTCAATATATTATTGCAGGTAGGCCTATCGTACAAAACAACTGAATAAAAACGAATTACATGACCTTTGTCCTATTATATCGAATTAGGCAATAATAATTCCTACCTAAAATTATATTAATATTATATCGAATTAGGCAATAATTTCTACCTAAAACTTCCTAATAAATCTAAAATGAAATAACAGATCTATGCTCATTTCATTTTACTAACAAACTATTAGTTAAATCAATCAATATTAAGCTTAATATTGTAATTGCAATTAATTACAATCTTACCATATCAATTCAGCAAAGATTTTCTGATAAATATCAATAGTCAATTTGTAATAAGAATGTAAAGGAAATGAATGAATAACAAAGAAAATGTAAGGTATGAAGCACAAAGTATGAAGCATGCAGCATGCAGAAATGAATGCAAATCTTATCATTGTATTGTTATTTCTTATCAGTGATTCATTTATTATCTAAAATTGAGCGTTAAGAACACTTATACTACCAAAGAAAGAAATGGAAAGTAAAAATATTGAAGAGAAGTTGTGTGCTCTTTGGTGGACGCAATGCAATAATGGAGGAGGAATAGGCGAAGGGAGAAGGAGAAGAAGAAGGAAGGAAAATGAGGAGGAAGAGGAGCAGGAGGAGGAGGAGGAAGAGGAGGAGGGGGAGGAGGAGGATGAAGCGGGGGAGGAGTATTTGAGGAGAGGAATCTATGAGGAATATAAAAATGATGGATACAAAGGCATGTATGTACATCATGCAATAAGGCCATCACTAAAACCATACTTCACGTAACATTTAGCCTAATTCTCTTCTCTTCCAATGAGATGCAATACCTGCCTGCTGCATAAATCCATCCATCCATCCATCCATCCATCAAGTAGGCATGCCTTGAATCTACGAATTGTGCTATTGCGCCTATTTCTACACTCTCCTCTGCCTCAATCATTGAGGCCAAATGCTGCCTTAGCAAAGCAACGGGACACTGCATCAGATTGATCTTGAAAGCAACTTTTAATGTGCACTTTATATGTATCTTTGCGTATATCTTGCATCTTATATGTTGGAATGTATAGATTGCTTCTACATATAGGATTTGTATGTATACGTGATTGAGTAAGTAAACGGATTGAAAGTAAAACGGTATTCCGATCTGATTTTCCGGATTTTGGAAGAGAAATAGCGTGTGATTTTTAAGCGGAATCCATGTGAATTAAGTGAATTCATAAACGACCTCACTTCTCAGAACATAACTTCTCGGACACCGATTATTGGATATTCGCAGAGAAGACTGACTTATAAGATGACTAGCTATAGACTTATAAGATGACTAGCTATAGTGAATTCTCCATCAATAATTCCAATCTGGAAGCTATGGATAATTATCGCATCAAATCTCTTACTCATTCAAATCTCTTACTCATTTCCTCAGCAAATTAAAAGCTTAAACTTCCAGAGAGAATTCATATATATGTGTACATAGGCTCTTCTTTACTCAGCAGGTTTAAGTATTAAATATATCTCATTTTTTCCTTTCAATTAATATGAATTTTCACTATAGCCATCAATCATATCAACGGTCACTTCAAAGAAGCTTTCAATCAGAAAATCTCTGAAATCCACACGTACACACAGAGAAAATCTTTCAAATCCACACGTACATACAGAAAAAATCTTTCAAATCCACACGTACACACAGAGAAAATCTTTCAAATCCACACGTACACATACATTAATCTTATCAACAATCGAAATGAAAGCCGTATTCGATACCTTCTAGATGAAGTAGTGATCATGGAAAGTAAATATCACTTATCATTTTGTTATCCTTCCTGTTGCAGTACTTCTTTTGGAATCAATTTATAAGGTATCATTCCGTTAAAAGTAGAATTTTCTAAGCATTTTAAAGTTTTAAACAAAAATTTCAATTCTTCTTCACAACATTAATGATAATAGAATATACTTAATTGGAGGTAACATTTCCAAATGAAAAATACCTGCTTGTTCAAACAATAAACTTTCATTTATCAAAACTTATTCTTATTTTACATAAATAACTCTTCACTTTAATGATTGTATGTATAATTTTGTTTTCTAACGTAAAAAACACATTTGCTAGCTTGTGCTTATCTGATCGATAGAATAAATTAAGAGTGAAATTATTTGAGAATAATTTAAATTTTGATTCTATACTTTTTTGCTTTCATACTTATTGAATATTATCGGACAAACGTTACATGTCCATTTTTACAAAATGAATAATCCATTCATCAATTTTAACTTTACATTAAAGAAATGAAAAAATTGTTGACAAAACAGGTTGAAGTTAAAATTATGATTCAACTTCAATCATATGATAAAAATTCATCATCTTAAAACAAAAATTACCGTATTTTTACTTCATGAAAAATTTTAATTTAAAATATAAGCAATTATAATGAAGTAATTAATAATGCAATTACCGTTATGTCTTAAATTCGAATTTAACAAACTAAATTTAATTTAAATATTTAATTTAAAATAGGGAAAAAAATTGTCCTTATTCACATACTTTCGTTACAGCACTTATTTTTATATAATTAAATTTAATTTTACTGTCAGCTACCTTTGTTTTAATTGTTAATTTAATTATTTTAATTTTTAGCTTCTTGCCGAACTTAATCTTATATTTTCGATTCTTTTTTTATTTCTTACCAGTCAATTTGTTCCAATTTTTGTTCTTTAATTCAATTACCTGTCTTATTTTTGTTTTGTAATTCATTTTCCAATTAAAAATTTGTTAATTATATAATCAATTATTGATTTAATATTACTATGATGATTTTAATACATTGAATTAGTATATTCTATTATTTACATCTTTTTTATTTTTCGTTCATGTTTGATGAATTCGATGCAGTATTTGAAATAATTCCTCCAATTACCTCCTTCCTATCTGAATTGCTGTTTTTTACAACACCTTTATTTCTACTAATTAAAATTTTGCCTTTAGAAAGAATTTTTTTTAATTTCATAATTTCCAATTAAAAAATTTGGATAGCAAACATACAAACACAAAGTGATTATTATTATTCGAATCGAATAAATTTTTAACTTTTAAACAGTACCATTTGTTACTGATAATGATAACGTTGAAATTAAATATAAAATCATTTTGACAATGATAACGAGTTTTAATTGATTTTGATTAGTGTTTAGTAGTTTTGATGTAAATATAAATTTAGCCATATAATCGTATACTTTTATATATTTCATTCTTCATCTACGAATTATAATCAGTTGTGAAATGTATTTAAGACCTAGAAAGTTTAAAGATAGAGAGAAGCAGGAAGAATCGAAAGATAGAAGGATGTAAATATAAATTTAGTTATCGTATACTTTTATATATTTCATTCTTCATCTACCAATTACTATCAGTTGTGAAATATATTTAGGATCCAAAAAGTTTAAAGATAGAGAGAAGCAGGAAGAATCGAAAGATAGAAGAAAGGAAAATTTTTAATTTGTAAGAAAATTTTCATCTAATTACTCATTATCAAATTAAATATTTCAAAGTATAAAAGTAAGAAAGAGTAATTGAAAGAGAAAAGGAGAAGCGAAGTTGTAAATTAATCACAAGGAAAATAATTGAGGTTAGGGGTCACATTAATAATATAATTGTGTGCGATGTCTTTCCGAATGATATAAAATGGGAACAGATGCCCTCATAATCTTTTATTATCTTTTATTATCGCTTTCAACATCACTTTGTTGTAAGCTTTCCAATTTTCCAGTTCACTGTTTTTGGAATTCTTTGCATATATCGTTGTTGAAAATTGTATTTCCGATCCATGAAGACAAAAAATTATTTATCAAAAGACCCAAAATTTAAACGACGTTTTTTCATGAAAATATAATTACGCAAGACGTTTATTTTCTAGGTGGAAAATAAATCAAGAAATTAACCATCAAATCGTACTCGATACTCGTTCTTAACATGTCATTTGCGCTCACCACCTATGTTCACCCAAAATGATATGATATATTTTCTCCACAGAGCGATTCAACCTTAAAACTAAAAGTAGAGTATGTGATTCTGTATCTGCGATTTATCATTGATATATATTAATGACCACAGATATCACAAGTATAGATAGCGTCTATACAAAATGCAAGTAAGTAAAACTACCTAATTATCCACACAAAACGCGCACTAGTGTTTGCATTATGCAAATTCACTTGCAAACTTGAAGAAGTTTAATATGCAACCGGTCAGTATGAATTTAATACGTAACTCATGTTCTTAATCGAATGAATTTTGACGTGGAGATTATATTAATGATTGAGAGCTGTATATGAATATGAATACTAACTTTAATGGGAATACAGATAATTAAATACATCATCAGATCATTTTAAAAAAGTTGATATAGTGATAAGTATAACTATCAATCTGATAATCTCTTTTATCAAGTTTTATGCTAACAGAGAATCATTTAATGACAGACTTATTTAAGTTTAATTATGCTCTTATTATATATTTATCTCTATCAAAACGTTCTCTATGGGAAAGAAAACTGGCAATATTATATTTTGATTTCGAATTGGAAAAAATAACTAAAGTAAAATTTTATGAACTAGCGAATGCATAAAATTAGAAATGATGGATTTTTCTTTAAGATTATTTCAGTTGCATATGTATAAAGTAAGTAAGAATATTTGCGAATATGATCGCAGTATTATTTGATATGCATTGTTTAATTGTTGGAGTAGTAGTGGAAAGTAAATCATATCAAGTAATGGTCAAGTATCACCAAGTAATTGTCAAATAATGGTCAAACATCATCAAGTAATCGTCAAGTAATGGTAAAGTATCATTAAGTAATGGTCAAGCATCATCAAGTAATCGTCAAGTAACGGTCAAGTATCATCAAGTAATTGTCAAATAATGGTCAAACATCATCAAGTAATAGTCAAGTAATGGTCAAGCATCATCGAGTAATCGTCAAGTAATGGTCAAGCATCATCAAGAAATCGTCAAGTAATAGTCAAGTATCATCAAGTAATCGTCAAGTAATGGTCAAGCATCATCGAGTAATCGTCAAGTAATGGTCAAGTATCATCAAGTAATCGTCAAGTAATGGCCAAGTATCATCAAGTAATCGTCAAGTAATGGTCAAGCATCATTAAGTAATTGTCAAGTAATGGTTAAGTATTTCAATAAGTAAAGAAATATACTTCAATGAAAAGAATGTTATCGTCGAGAAATTTGCTAACTACAATTACAAATCAATAACATTTGATATTCAAATGTCGTTATAGAAGAATGGATGAAATGATTTGAAAAATATTTGTAGTGATAAAATTGATATTCCTTATTGAAAATTTCCCTTAATAATATAAAAATTCTTTCGATCGATTTTTCGAAATATCAATCCATTCCAAGAATACATCCACTTAATCAGAAATAGTTTTGAAAAATTGATTTCTGTTTTGAAAGAATTTTTATCATTCAACAAATTTAAATCTGTCTGTTAACTTTTAGCAAAATTTTCTCCATGCATTCCGTTTGAAAAAGAAATGAAATAGCATAATCATTGGAAGAGTGTAATGAATGGTATGATAAAAATTATTTCTAATTTAGTCAATTAAGATTCATCTGAAGAAAGTCTACCAAATGTCTTTTTTAGCAAATTATTCTCTTAAGCTTAAGCAACAGTTCCGTTGAAGCTTAAACTTTGAAAGTTGGCTTAGATAATAAATTAAATTAATTTGTTCCGGAATGAGACCCTTTGGCCTGAAATACATGTATAGAACAAGTTGATCATTAACCTGTATATGTATATAACAAGTTAATCATTGACCTGAAATACATGTGTAGAACAAGTTAATCATTAACCTGAAATATATCTATTGAAAAGAGTGTATTAAATAATCCAAAGAATCATTTACATCATTTAATTTCTTTCAAGAATATTGCTTGCTAAAAGATAGAAACTGAATATTGTTTTAGTAAGGGAAGCGCAAAAAGAACCAACTGGCATCTAATTTAGATTTCAAGCGGTAAAAGTAAGCATAAATAGCGCTATTGGCGCAATTGTCATTTCCTTTCCTATATTTTTTTCGAATTTTTGATAATTCAATGAATGAATGAGATAATATGTGCAAACTAATGGATGTATAAATAGCGCTATTGGCGCAATTGTCATTTCCTTTCCCATATTTTTTTCGAATTTTTGATAATTCAATGAATGAATGAGATAATATGTGCAAACTAATGGATGTATAAATAGCGCTATTGGCGCAATTGTCATTTCCTTTCCTATATTTTTTCGAGTTTTTGATATATTCAACAGATAAAATGGTATGTGCAGTTTTAATGGAATGAAAGGATTAAATGCATCCTATATGCTTGCATGATTGTAAAGTAAGATGGAATAGCGTTAAGTTACTGTAAGCAGGCAAGAAACACTTATAAATTGGTAGAGAGAAGACTGCTTAACCTTTGCTATTAGAAATGAAAACGATTATCCGACTTTAGGGAAAGGATTAAATGCGTCCTATATGCTTGCATGATTGTAAAGTGAGATGAAATAGTGTTAAGTTACTGTAAGCTGGTAAGAAATACTTATAAATTGATATATAGAGAAGAATGCTTAACCTTTGCGATTAGAAATGAAAACGATTATCCGACTTTAGGAGGTTAAAGAAATATAAAATACTTATTAGTCATAACTTAAATTACATTCTTTTTATAGTAGCAAATAAATAATTTCGTTGTAAATTTTGAGAAGCAAAAAAATTTTTTTGCTTTTCAAATTTAATAAAGCAAATTAGAATTACAATGAATATATTACATATAGATAGATAGAGCTTACTAAAATTGTTGAAAAATTTTTTGAATAAAAAAAATTCATCAAATTTTATAATCCATTCTTTTTTCATAGTGAGAAAAAAATAGGCAAATAAAAGTGATGTCAAAATAAATTTTACGAATAAATTTGCATATTTGGTAACTAATTAAAAGAAAATGAAATATTAAAAAGTCGCTAAAATAGCTTATAAAATAATTAATTTTGAATAAATGCTTTCATTGTGTAGTATTTGTCATCGTTGTATAGTTGGTGAAAAGTTATCATTATATTGGATTATCAGTTGATAACAGAAATATGTCATCATCATCTTCATCATCAACAACAACATCAATTTCTTCTGAGCAAGAAGAAAAGATGAATATTGAAGTTGATTTTTTGACAAGGTATGCTAGTATGACAAGGTATGATGAGGGATGATAAAGGATGATGATAATCGCAATGAGAAATGTTATCAGATTTGAAAGGGTTTAAGATTGATATATTTGATTAGAATGAATATTAATACTATTATTGAATTAGGATAGAGTAAATTTAAATTAAACAAGATAGAATAATTTTCTCATTGAACTTTTTTATCAAAATTTAATTTTAACACTTCAAAAGTATCATGTAAATTAATATTGATACTGTATTTTAAATTATTATTAATACTAATATTAATATTGATTTTATTTATCAAATCAATAACTGATAATTTGTAAAGAAAGGTTTGTTACGATAAATGAGAGTGCGCAGAAAATACATTCACTCATTTTTTGCTTCTATTTAATTTCAAATATTATTTGTAGTAGAAAAAAATATTGGCTACTTTTTCTTTTAACTATATGATATAGGGAAAATACGGTGGTACTAAACGATGGTGAAGCGATCATTGAAAAAGGTTTAGTTTTGCATGGTTGTAAACCATCTGTACGAGTAGGTGATACTATTATTGCCGTTAACAATACGCAATTTGATACAAATGAAGATTTGATGCAGGTCTGTTACCTGTTATTAATTTTAAGTTACCTGTTATTAGTTACGATATTAATGATTTTAAATTTTGCTTTATTTATTTTTCGCGCAAAAAATTTATTTTTTAAATAATTGCAATTTATTGAAAGGAAAAAAATTAAAACAAAAAATTTTACCTGTTAGTATCATTAATACTTTCGATTAATTAATCACCTGTTAATTTTATATATAAAATAGCAAATTTTTAGTTATTAATGCAATCAGCGCAAGCATCTAAGAAATTTACAATCACTATTAACCGTCAAAAAGGTGAAATCGAAACAGAAGATAAAATTGATCGTTATGTAATTGAATTGAAAAAAACCATTAACAATGAATCATTTGGAATAATTCCAACCGTTGAACAGGATTGTGTATATTTTTTTTCCGGAATTAATTTTAACGTTGAAAAATTCATTAAAAAATTCTAAAGTTCGAAGGTCAGATAAAGGTCAGATAACTTTTGTTTTTGAAGAAAATTAGTTATATTATGAAAATAATCTTATCAATCTTAAATATATTAATCAAATTCGTATCGGAAAATATAAAATTTCCTGAACAAATTTAACTTTGAAAAATTCATTAAAGAATTCTAAAGTTCAAAGGTCATATATAATTTTTGAAAAAAAATTGTATATGACCTTTGAACTATTTTTGAAGAAAATTAGTTATATTATGAAAATAATCTTATCATTCTTAGGTATATTATTCAAATTCATATCAGAAAATATAAACTATCAAAAATTTGTTTCAAATTCATGAGCTGTAAATTGAACAATGTATATGATGATAATAAAAATAAGATTATTTGTTGTATATTAATAATCTTTGATAAAGTATTATTAAAGTTAAAGTATATTAATGATCTTTAATTACCAATTGAAAGCGATACTTTAAGTTAATGATTCTAATTAACAAGTTAACATACTTTAACTTTAATAATACTTTAACAATCAATACGACAAATTTTTCTTCAAATAAAGAAATAATAAAATTATCTTAAATTTTGTTTTCTGAACTGATATAACTGAGCTGATATAAAATAATAGAATTATCTTAAATTTTGTTTTTTGAACTGATATAATTTAACTGATCTAAAATAATAAAATTATCTTAAATTTTGTTTTTTGAACTGATATAATTGAACTGATCTAAAATAATAAAATTATCTTAAATTTTATTTTTTGAACTGATATAATTGAACTGATCTAAAATAATAAAATTATCTTAAATTTTATTTTTTGAATTGATATAATTGAAATGATAATTTTGATTGAAATTAATTAATTTCAGGAATTTTTTTTCTTTTTGAAACTACCTTTAATTTTCTTAGATATTAGTGGAAAAAGTAGATGGATTAGCAGCTGAAGCTGGTATTAAGGAAAAAGATCACATTAAACGTATTAATGATGAACCGATACAATCAATGAAAGATTTTGATAATCTTATTAAGGGAAAGCAAAAAATTGTTCTCTATATTTCTCGTGGCCTAAAAATTACGAAAACTAAAGTTGAATTTGAAAAAAAGGTTTTTAAATATTAATCTAATTTAACTTTGATAGTATCATTAATTTTGATAAAATTAAAGGGAAAAAAAACTTATCAAAAAATTTTTTTAAAATCTCTTTTATATGCAAAATAAAATTCCTATTTATTTGTTCTATAATATAGTTAATGTAAATATTAAATGATAGCTATGCTAATAACGTATAATTATACTAAAAATAATAACGATTGCTAAATACCGGGAAATATTTCCCCGGGATATATTTCAAAGAAAATAATAAAAAAAATAATAGATTGAATAATAAATCTGTTCCTATTGATTATCTCCAAAATTCATTTTAACCTAAACTAATTAATAATTTTGCTAAATATCGGGAAAATATTTTAAAGAAAATAATAAATTAGATATATCTATTAATTTTATTATTTATTACTAAAATTCATTTTTAGCATAACTAATTAATAATATTGCTAAATATCGGGGAAATATCTCAAAGAAAATAATAAATTAAATATATCTATTAATTTTTATTAATTATTACTAAAATTCATTTTTAACATATCTATTAATTTCCATTGATTATTTCTAAAATTCATTTTAACCTAAACTAATTAATAATATTGCGAAATATTGGGGAAATATTTTAAAGAAAATAATAAACTAAATATAACTATTAATTTTTATTAATTATCTCTAAAATTCATTTTTATCTAATTAATAGTATTATTTTATTAGATTGTCAGCATACATATTCCATATGAAAGTGGCGATATATTGGGTATAACAGTAAAAGATTTAACAGTAATCGATATACAAAATGGTTCAATTGGTGAAACAAAATTTGAGGTAGGTAAATTAATTAAAATATAATTAGTAAAAAATTTTTTGAAATTAAAAAAATACTTCTTTTTTACATTTAGCAACGAAAAAAATTACAGAAATTAAAAAATAAAATAATTAATTAATTAATTAAAATTTGAAAAAAAAAATTCAAATAAAATATTTAATATAAATTAATTATAGTAAAAGGGAAATTTTTTTTATAGTTAGAAGATAAATTAATTGATATAAATGGTATAAAGTTAAACGAAGATGAAGAATTATATGAATTATTACGACGAATAAATGATGATCTTGAAATAAACGTTTTAAGAAATGTTGTTAAAAAAGATGATGATGATAGTAAAGTAGGAGCTATTGGTATATCACCTTCAATTAAAACAACCATTTATCGAGTTCTTATATCACTTTCTGTTAGTTTCTTTCTCTCTAAACTCTTTTACCGAATATATGATTTCCCGGGAAATATTACAAGGAAAAATAATATGCTAAATATATCTATTAATTTTTATTAATTAATTGATGAATAATAATATTATTTACTTTCTGTTAGTTTCTTTTTCTCTAAACTCTTTTATCGAATATATGATTTCCCGGGAAATATTACAAGAAAAAATAATAGTCTAAATATATCTATTAATTTTTATTAATTAGTTGACGAATAATAATATTATTTACTTTCTGTTAGTTTCTTTTTCTCTAAACTCTTTTATCGAATATATGATTTCTCGGGAAATATTACAAGGAAAAATAATAAGCTAAATATATCTATTAATTTTTATTAAATAATTGATGAATAATAATATTATTTACTTTCTGTTAGTTTCTTTCTCTCTAAACTCTTTTATCGAATATATGATTTCTCGGGAAATATTACAAGGAAAAATAATAAGCTAAATATATCTATTAATTTTTATTAAATAATTGATGAATAATAATATTACTTAAATTTAAAAATAAAAAATCAATAGATAGATGAAATCTTTTAAATTATAAAAATACAAGCTAAACTCATTTGTTGCAATACGATAATGTTGAATATATAATTTCCCGGGAAATATTTCAAAGAAAATAATTAGTCTATTAACACATCTATTAATTTTTATTAATTAGTTCATGAATAATAATATTATTTAAATTTAAAAATAAAAAATCAATAAATAGATGAAACCTTTCAAATTATCAAAATACAAGCTAAACTCATTTGTTGCAATACGATAATGTTGTAGTTTTATTTGAAGTGATATGATGATATAATGATGATATGAACATTTAATGATGCTTTTTTAATAAATAAATTATCATATTAGATGGCACCATGTGAAGCATTAGGTGTACGACCAGATGAGAATTTATTAATTTCACGTATTATGGATAAGTCACATGCACAAGGTAAATTTGAACTTGGTGATGTTATTAAGAAATTGAATGGAATTTCAATCAAGGATCGTAATCAATTTTTCAAATTATTTGAAGATGCTACCACCGCTGGAGGACGAGTAAATGTAATAGTTTAATTTCCTAACATCAAATTCTTATATTTTAAAAATCTTTGATCAATTGACAAGATATAGATTATTCACGTCTTAATCATAAAATTAATATACTTTATAAATGCATCATCATAAATGATGAACGATGATAAAATGTAATTTTACAATTTACTAATTGATTTAATCCTCAACAGTAAAAGTTTAAAAATCTGAAAATTTATCTCTATCTTTCTGATTGCCGAAAATTTCATTACAGTAATCAAATATCTTTTGCACACTTTAATTTGTTACTTGCTTCAATCTAACTTATTATTTTCCTTTATAAGATATTAAATTAATTACTCTCATTCATAAGATATTAAATACACAGAACATAGCGATAAGACTTATCAAATACGGCAGTAAGCTTATTTTTTGTTAATCAATATATATTTGTTTTAAAAATTTTTTCATTCAAAGAAAAGTATAGAATAATTTAACGAACAAAATTATCTTTTCTTTTTCTGAATCATTTTATTGCAAGCAATACATAGAATGTAATATTGCAAAATACTAATTTCTAATGTATATTTCCATTTACGATCATCGTTGAACGTAGTGCAGAACGTGAATTGGAATTGGAAAAACGACTTTTACCACCAAATATTGAAAAAATAATCAAAAGGCATGCAGGATATGATTATATTATTGTGAATGTTCGCTATGATTCTAGTGCAGGTCGTCCGTTTGGGTTAAATGTTAGCTTTTCAAATTGAATCCAAAATAACTGACTACGATGCTAAATTGCAAGAAAACAGTGCATCTAATCAAGCTTAATCAAGATTTATAAAGAATATACAAATTTTCAAAAAGTGAAAACAATGAGGATTAATTCTCAGTCGCACAGTTCATAGCATCTAAAAAATTGTTTTATGATATTGAAAAAAGCAGATCAATATAAACACCAGAATACGAATTATTCTGATAAAGAGTAAAACTTAAGTTCATAATTTCGAGATCAAAATTTGCCTTATTCTCGAAATCATGTAACATTTGTTTGCATCAAATAACACATTTATTTTTTAAAACATACCAAACCTACCTATTCTTTAGATAGCAAATGTCACCGCACACAAAATAATTATCTATGAAGTAGCCGAAAACACCGTAGCGGGGGACTATTTGAAAATTTACGATCATATTATAGCCATCAATGGTAATCCAGTATCGGATGCCACTGTGGCAAAGAAAATGATACGTGAATGCGGAGCAAATTTTCAGGTAATCGTTCTATAATGGGAATCATTGAACTCTTTGCATGAGCAACTTGTTTTATCTATCATAAAGCATTTGGTTCGAAATAACAACATTTAAATGATTAAAAAAGAGATAAGCAAAGGGTTCTAAAATTGAACCATGATATAATGGTACAATATTCATCTCACGCCTTTTCGGGCTGTAATTGAACGTCCAATCACCTTGGACAGTAACGGGGAAATCAAACGTGAAGTAGACGAGTGGAAAAAAAGAATGGCTCGCCCAATAAATCTTGAACAGATGCCACCAGATGTTCAAGAAATTGTCGAAAAACATGTAATCTTTTATTATCACTATAATGAGGATATACTGAATTAATGAAAGGAGATTAATTCTGATTTCCACCCATTTTCTTGTTTACAAAAAAATTTTAATTTATTTGATACAGCTGATAACTTTCCAAGTTTAGAACATATATATCAGAATTTTAAAAAGCGAAACAATGTAACAGCCTAGAGATGGTAACCGTAATCCTCAGTTAGGAAATTTTGAACTAAAACATTGCCATCCTTTCGCAGTTCAAACAACGTGGAATCAAACAAGCCGCCAACCTCGTTTCGGTCCTTCGTAAACCAACTGGCCAACAACGTAAAATTCATTTCTCAGAACACCACATTGAAACACAGATCCAAAGTGATACACCCGCAACGAAACGCTTACGCTCATGTCGGTAAACCACTACGTGCAAAATATGATAAAATTTTCTCATATATTAGCACCAAGTTGCTTAGAATTAAAAAAATATATATGATCATGATTGTAACTCTATCGATATAAACAGTCCTTTACAAAACATGATGCTAAACTCCTAATGAAGAGTACCTTTCTTATATAAAACCAAACATGTTCTGCTGGTTGAATGGAAAGATATGTTCATTAATGCACTGACTGTAATCTGCTGAACTTAAAGTAATATTACGAGCTACTGGCCTCCTATAAAAGCGTTGCTTAGCAATGGCACGGAAAAAGATATAACTCTCAAAGAGATGCGGCAAGTAATTTGATGTGTCATAAACAATTATTGTCCGCATATAACAAAAAATGTGGAATTTAATAGATCCATAGAAAACCGTTAAAGAGATTCGTTTCCATCTTCACCAGCAAATGGTAAAGATTGTGCCTTTAGTATTTGTTTTTTTTTGAAGAAAATCTGAATCTTAGAAAGAAATCTTAGCAGTTAGTGTAACCGAAAACATTCTACAAATAAACTTGCAATTCCTAATCCGATAAAAAATTCAGAATACTGTTTGAAATACTTTTTCAATGAGACAGAAAATATGACAAACATTTCAAGCAACAGTGAAAATAATTCGCTGCTGTCGATCGAGCATGAGAATACCGTTAGCAGTATAAGTGTTAATACATTCCTGCACAACTTCCTCCGAGATTCCCTTAGCGAAACACTTCTTAAATACTGTCTGAAGCGGAAGTGAACGATTCTCGTCATCGCTGATGCCATGATACAAGTCACGAATGACTGCAAACGCCTGGTCAAGAAGAGGAATTTCATGCTGTTTTAATTGCTCTGTAGCAATCGAAGCTCGACAAACCTAAGAGAAATGTATATTAAACTCTAACTTATTGACGATTAGTCACCTTGATTAATCCGGCAAGAGCAAATGCTTTGAAATAAAGTGTAATTCCAAATTTCTTCAGAAGCTTCGCAAAGCCTTAAAAATTGGGATTTAGATTTTATAGAATTAAAGCAAAAATTCCAAATACGACCTCTAGAAGACGAACTGCTTCATCTATATCACTAGATTGGACCACATCTGAAAGACGCAGACGAGCCAGTGCTGAACTCAGCCGAATAACTCCCAATAAACTCCGTGGTGAAGTGAATATTGAGTTCTAAATAGTAATGAATTTAAAAAAGTGAAAATACACCGTCAATTTATAATGAAGAGCTATCTTTCACATCAGTAATCTTTCCGTTTTGTATATAAAAAACGTAAATAAATTCAATAAATGCCTAAACTCGACCTTGTTATTCCGTGCATCCTTACGAAGATTTACATACATATCCACTAGTCGGTCACGTAATTTTTCTTCAACAACGGGTTGCTTTCGTTTACATATTGCAATGTATCGTCTAGAAATAACGAAATTATTTCGAAAAAGATTAATATTGTTTTTGCAACAAAGATGCGGATCAAATTCATTTGCAGAATATAATGATAGCTAGCCGAACAGAAATCAAGTACTATGATTTATGTTGGAAGTTAAGTGGAATGGTATATTATGATATATATTGGAACTTCCAACACTATCAAGCTTTTCAAAAGCGACTAAAAAACCAAGATTTAAATGTCCGATTTACTGTTTAGAATATTTTCAAAAAACATAGTTTTTTTTTTAAATTTACCTGATTAGACTCATATCAAGCGGTTTCATTCCCTCCTTTTCTGGTTCATGTCCTTTCATATGAACATACGTGATATGTTCTGCCAAACGCTTGTCATTTTCACGATCCGGTCGGTCCTAAGTAATCAAGTTAAAAAAAAATTTAGAAGATAGACGTTTAAAATCAGCAAGAAATCGAAGATCGAAAACCTGAATAAGCCAGAGAAGATCAAAACGTGACAAAAGTGCTGCTGGAAGATTGATATTATGTTCTATGCTTTTCTTCGGATTATATCGTCCAAATGCCGGATTCGCAGCAGCGATAATGGAAACACGAGCATTTAGCGTCGTCAAAATTCCTGCTTTAGCTATCGAGATTGTTTGCTGCTCCATAACCTCAAAGATAAAGGTGATATTTCAACATTAAAACTGAATCCTAATCCTAACACTCTAAAAAAACGCAAAAACCATCGATGAGCTATTTCCATGTACGATTTCTAGTAATGATACGATTTATTTTAACAATCAGAAAAATTCAAAACGAAATAAATCAAGGCAGGAACTAAGTCAAATTTCACTATTTTCAAATAGAATTGAATGAAAGAAACGCACCTCATGGATAGCTGTTCGATCACCACCCATCATTTTATCAAATTCATCGATACAACAAATGCCTCGATCAGCTAGCACCAATGCTCCTCCTTCCAATGTCATCTCACCAGTAACAGGATCTTTCATTACAGCAGCCGTAAGACCAACACCAGAAGAACCTCGACCAGTTGTATATTGAGAACGAATTGCCAAACGATCAACATATGACAGAAGCTGTGACTTCGCTACACCCGGATCACCCATCAAAAGAATATTAATGCAACCTATACCAAAGTTAGAAATATGAGAATGAAATAATGTTGAGACAAAAGTCGAAGATGTTACATGTTAGTAATTTTTACTATAAGTGAACATATCAGTGAATCATTTTATGGAATAATCAATATGGCCATAATTAGGAAATCGGAAAGTTACATTTAAAACTGAAAGTATGGAGAAAATAATATGTTAGAAAAAAATACGTAAATCCCAAACGATGTTTTTTTTAAAAAGAACTCTTACCTTGTTCCATAATACAGTCTGCCTTATATATTATATATATAATATATAATAACTTCGCTTTTAAAATAAATTAGCATGACTGTTATATATAACTCTCAAAATCATACCTCTAACTTTCATTCCACTGACATTTTTGTCAACACCACCAACAAGAGCAAGTAGTAATGATTTTTTAACATCCAAATGTCCATAGATTTCAGGAGCAATACTGTAAGCCAATAATTCGTAGAAATTATCCTGCGAAACTGTTTCAATTTCTTCCTCTGTCAGTTCGTATTGCTCGCCAAGGATATCTTCACTGTTCTCAAAAATTAGCATTTTCCTCAAAATTAAAATAAAAAAGTGTTGAGGATGATTTTCATGATTTTGACAATGCTATTTAAGTAAATCATTTTGATGAATATGCTAATCAGAAGAACATTTTCGGCCATCTTTCTTTGATATGCAAATTCGCTAAGTTCGAAGTTCAAGAAATCTCAAAAAACGTCCAGCTATTCGGGACGTCGGATGCAAGAATCCCAACTCTATGTAAATCCTTTAAGACTGTTTTCTAGAAGAGTCAAAGTAAGACAATGTACGAGAGTCTCAAAAAACGTGCAAACCATATTGATATTTTCGATGTGATGTGCTTCGACAAAAACTTCCGTTGTCAAACCTCCGGTAAATTGCCGAAAACCTGTCCGCATTAGAGGAGCAAATGTACCAGTAATCCGGACGACATCGCCTGGTGCACAAGCTCTTGTGTTTTCGCCAGTAACATTTACTACTAAAGACCGCGGGATACTACCAACGGGAACTTGCTCACTCTAAATTAAAATTGAAAAAACTGAGCCAATCTTGATGTCTCTTAAATAAAAGCAGCCGAAAATTTTCATACTTTTATACTATAATCATTTTGACCTAAAACAACTGTACGAAATTGGTTTTTCCAAAAACTGTAAAACAAGCATAACAAAAAATTACAAGCTCCTGAATCCTCATTTCTTGAAATTTCATAAACTTAGATCCACGAATCTGCATTTGAAGACGTCCATTTGCCCTATTTTCAACGCAGTCTTTCGATGGACAATTAACTGGCGGCATGAATGCTGGTCCTGATATCTGGAATTTAGGAAATTTTTAATTATTAGAAAGACTCACGGAATTAGCATCAGTTTGTAAGTACTGCATTTCCTAAATATAGATTCCTTCTTAGTAAAAATTACTGTTAGTTATGTATTAAAAAAATCATTGACCGGTTGATAGGTTTCACAACCGCAAGTATCACAAGTGTACGTCATGACAGAAGCCACTGGTTTCACCTCTGTGCATCGGATAACAATACCACTTATAATGACCAACTTGCCAATGTGTGCTGCCTTCACTTCACGTATTGCCAGAGGTTTGCTCAAAGAGCTTCCCTTGAAAAATACTTCGCTGAAATATATAAACTTTTCTGAAAGCAATTCAAAGATATTTTTCGGTGCATGAATTTTTATTAAGCACTTCTAAGCAGCTGTGTATTTAAGTATTATGAAAGGTTGAAATCACATTGAGGCTTGCCACTTTATATCGCCGAAGAAGCCAAAGTAAATCAAAACTGTCTCATATCGATAAAAATACCAAAACTTTTGAAATGTACTGCAAAGAGAACCATACAATAAAAATCATACAATCGACGAAGCAACTGAGGTGGATATTTTTTACGCAAATCTTGAATTTGATTTGTTCTTCCACTACTATCTTCATTTTGCTTTTTATCCAAATAGACACGTTGAAATATGAAAGCGTCCAAGGCATCTCGAACAGGTGGCTAAACATATATTTAAGTAATGTGGATAAAACTATGATCGAGAAATTTTCGTTCTTAAACAAAGGAAAAACTCATGGAAACAATAGAAACGTAAAATTCACAAGCAAAAAGTTAACAGCAATATATTTGGTGTTAAAATAAATATCAACAGTTCCAAATTTGCCAACTCAACACAGTACCAATGACTGGATCGCTGGATATGGAAAGCGACAGAAAAGTTATGGTATTAAGCTTGAAGGCAACAAAACACTAGTGTCAAAGCAGCTGAACCATTGGCGAACTCATATATTACTATGATAATACGATGACAGAAGTACACAAGTATTTTGACAAGTCAAGATAAAAGAACAGTTGACGTACTTGTCTCTCTCCTAATTTTTGTTGAATTAAAGAATCGATTACGTCACCAAAAAGCGAATGATAACGTCGAGCGTTCTGCTGAATAGCAATGTAAAGTGCAGGATCGTACTCATTCACATCATCCATGTTGATAAATATTCCAACCTACAAAATGTTTAAAGCAACCAATTTGAGCTATGAGATAAAAGATCCAGAATTTATGATCATCATGGCTATCACTACTACCATTATTCCCTTATGTCAGATTAGTCTTAATGCTTATTATGCCTACTTCATTAAATTTCAACCATTCTTAGAAAACAACTCCAGTTTAAAACCAAGCACGATTTTTGATCCTTAAACAATCTGCGACTGCAGTTGATTTTGCCTAACCTATTACTGATATAGCCAAGTCTTGTTAACACTGCTCTTATGGATATTATCAATGCAACAACCAATATTGCCTTTGTTATTACTTTTACACTGCTCCTTAGTGTTATTACCGTTAGCAATATTTAATTATTTAGAAAACTTTAGAAAGGATTTAATTTATTTTAAAAAATTTGGAAAGGATTTAATTATTTAGAAAACCTGTTCACGCTCGGCAAGGCGAGTAATTTGTTTATCGTATGGAAATAATTTCGTACCACCAGCTTCTTCATGATAAAATGTAGTTAGGAAATCCTGTATTTTCTCTTTCTCTCGGTCGTAATCGGCAATTTCATAAGCCATTTCCGATGAATCACTGAAACATCCATAACCATGTGAACAGTACAAAAAATTATGATAATGAAGAAGCGGTTGATATAGTGAATACACAGTGAATAATGAATAATGGATACATAGTGAAGTCTTTCAAGAATGACAAATACAGTCGTATTTCCAACGATGAAAATAAATTTAAAGATAGATAATAAAATTGAAAAATTCCATCATGTCATTGAAACAAAACAATGATCACAACTTAGAAAATAGCTATATTTTGGTATTTCTAATAGCTATATTTTATTGCCGATGCACTTAGATAGTACATTCATCTAGAAAAAATACACGGTTTCGAATCTAAAGCACAGCATACTAGTATATCAACATCAACTCATATGACCAAATTGTCCGCGATCCTTCAAATTTACTAAATCAGTTCATGTCAATTTGCTAATTTTATGCCAATTTGCTAATGGTTCCAGGGACTAAGAGTGACCATCAAGAAGGTTATCCAGATGAGTCATCCTCACTTCTACCTGAATTATGCTAGGCAAAACCCCTTCTATACCAGAATGAAAAATCGAGAATTTAAATTCAAATGTTTAAATCTATTCTTTTCCTTCCTTACCTCTTCCATAGCACTTCAAGAGCACGAATGACTGTTAAAGCTTTATATCGTTTAAATATATTGCAAGTGTCAGCCGGTTGGTTGGTAAAAAGTCAGGTGGGGAAAAATATGCGCGAAGAAACGAGGAGAAGACTTAAGCGCCGTGATATCCGGAAGTATTAATTTAAATCATCTTATTCCTATTGTGTTAAATTGCCATACAAAGTATTTGGGCATACTTAATCTCATCGTTACTAGTATTTTGTGATAGTGACATCCCGCATTGAATGATCCTAGAATCAATGATCCATTGATGAAGGAGATCAGATAAAGTACAATTACAGGCGAATATATCACATTACACAAAATCTCTAGTGACCAATAACCATTTATACCACGACTTGACTGTTGAATGCTGGTATAATTATATATCAAAAGTTCCATCTATGCCAATGAAGTTAACTTACGTGATAGATAGTACCAACTCTAAAGCATATCTATTCACTTCCTGTCTTACCAAATCCGACTACTACTCATTCTATCTTCTATGCTCTCTGCATTTAATGCGGTAATTGAGAATTGATGGAGGAAAAATGTATAAAAAATTTCATTACAATGCTATAAATGTCAGATCACGTTACGTAAGCGTTTAAGATTACTTCAGCGCAGCTGGCATTTAAGATTACTTTTTCCTATTTGTCCTCAAAGTTGTTATTTCGATAAATGCTTGCAAATGATGTAATTTAACCGTAAAGGTAACAACAAAGGTTGCACGATAAAACTTCCTTTTTTATAAATTTCACCTATCTCTCTCTCTCTCTCTCTCTCTCTATTAAAAAAAATCAAAAGATGGGATAGATTCTAAAGAACGTGGATGGAACGTGGATTAGCTGGAATTGTTCTAATCGAATCCGTAAAGTGGCAATTGAATTGCTGATCTTATCGATGCGATATAATAATTAACTCCTAAATTTCAATTTTGTATTAATGAAAAGGAATCTATTTAAGTAATTACTTCAATTCATTTATCAATCTTTTTATCCTTTCCTGAATTGATAATATCCTTTTTGAGCTTTCCATCCCTACATCGATCTCAAAGTTAACAACTGATATCTCATAAAAGCTATCACATGCCCTACTAATTATTTACTACCGATTGAAGCTGTCATTTTTTTCTTGAAAAGTGTTTCAAGAAAAAAATGTACTAAATCTTTACTAAATTAACGGTCCCATTTGTCAAACAAATAAGTGCCATGGCTTCTTTCACCTGTGGACTGTTTTGCAATGAGTATTCCTGGATTGTAGTAAATTTTGTTATATGTAGTAAATTTATCCTCTTGAAATTTTAACTATTCTTATTTTCTTCCTCTCTCTCTCTCTATATTGATTTATATGATCCTTTTCTTGTCCTGTTATGGGTCATAGGTGGAATAGTAGGGCATGCCAGCTTTGGTAGATTCTTGACAATGTCAAACACATATCTGGGAGAAATTATGTTGAATTATCATATCAACAATTAACTTATCATATCAACAGTAGACCGTTCGCTTATATATTTGGTTCAGTTTTTTGATGCTTTAAAATGAAGTTTTAAAAAAATTAATAATTATTTTGTTACATCTTCGATTGTTTTTTGTGGGAGTGCAAAGATGGCACGAACTATGGATAGAAATGAGCTTTATAAAGAACCTCAATCGTTTGCTATTGGACCATATACATTTAAAAACTGTCAGCTAATAGGCGGAGGAACATATGGTACTGTCTATAAGGCATATGATATTGAACAACGGACATATTTTGCGATAAAAGTGATCAGATTAGACAGGTATGGAGTGATTTAATTAATTTAATGCTTAATTTACTCGATACCTAATATGGCTTAATTAGCCATACAGATTGATAGTTTATTTCTTTTATTTCTTTTATTTCCTTATTGTGCTACTGTGCTCATATCACTTCATCAGTACGTTGATTTTTTCTTTTTCAGTCGAGAAGGTGTACCTGGAACTTGTCTTCGAGAAGTATCAATTTTGAAAGAACTCACTCATCCAAATATCGTTCAAATGCATGACGTTATACCAAGTAATGGTCAGTGAATGAATGGTTATAGCATGAAGATATATGGATCGGAAGCAGTGCTGAACAAGCTTTTGTATAACTATTTTGTGTTACCTAAACTAATGTGAAGTGTGCTAACATCACCAGGTTTAGATAGCTTTTTTCTTGAAATAGCATGGGAATATTTACTTTCTGGTGACCAGCGAGTTTTAGTGATTTTATGAATTTATTCATTAGAATAAAACTTATTATTGACATAATCGTCCCACTTACAACATTATTTTGCAGGGTGCAGGAAAATATATATGGTGTTCGAGCATATTGATTATGATTTAAAAATGCTTATTGAAAAATTGCGACCGAAACCCTTCCCAATGCTTTACATCAAAGTAATTTAGTACAGTATTATCTAAAAATCATTTCAGGAGCAATTAAGTTAGAAACTTCTAATATAGCTTTTTGGAAACGAACTTATAAGTATGGAGTTTAAATTCCATAAATATTAGTGTGCTGCGAAAATTTTAGAGTTTCTTGTGGCAGTTGCTGCGTGCTCTTACCCTCTGTCACACAAATCGTGTATTGCATCGAGACTTGAAGCCACAGAACATTTTAGTAACTGCAAATGGTACTGTAAAAATTGCTGATTTTGGTCTTGCACGTTCCTTTACAATACCTTCCAGATGTTATACGCATGAGGTATGCTTTTTCATATATGTATGAATTATGTTTCTCAATTTTCTAAATAATGGCCACTTGAAGTGTGCTAAATGTGACCTAAACTTCACCAGGTTTAGATAGCTTTTTTCTTGAAATATCATGTAAATCCATGAAACGGTTTTAAAATTATGAAGAAACTTTCAAGACTCTCTTAAGATTTAGTGATTAGACGTTTTCACGTTTTAATTTATGGCTGACTTTTTGCAAACGTTTGGATATATCTAGGAAGGTGTTCCAGAGAAGAGGGCCACATTTGAAAGTTTTGGAGTTTCAATTTTGGAAAGTGATTTCATTCTTTAATTTCTTTTTTGCTTATATTACGAAATGAAAATTGGTTGAGATGTACGGGTTTTTTTGCAGATAGTAACTTTATGGTATCGAGCACCTGAAATTCTACTCCGTTCAAGATTTTATTCAACAGCAGTCGATATATGGAGTTTGGCTTGTATATTTGCTGAGCTAGTTACCTCAACACCGCTCTTTCGTGCAGACTCTGAAATCAGTCAACTGCTTCAAATATTTCAAATCCTAGGAACTCCCACTCCGGAAGTGAGTTGGGTTAAAAGATATTTTGTTTAAATGGATTTTCTTATACCTTTCACTGCTTCCCTTTCGGTAGAAGACAGAGATGCGAATAATTGATTTGTTTTCCAATTCACATCATAGAACGAAATGTCATGAATGTATGCCCTAGAGATGAGATATTTCAGATTTGGCCTGATTTGATAAATTGTATTGATTACAATCGTAATTTCCCGAAATGGACAGAATGCGTTTTAGCAGAACACGTACCAGGTCTGGATAGTGACGGTCTAGATTTGCTCGCGGTAAAAGCTGTTTAAATTACATATATTATTGTAATTAATTTCATTTTTATTTCATGTCAATTATTGGGAATATAACTTCGTAAAGACTGGTACGACCTAATGTAGATCTTGAAAGTTGACTGAGTGATGACCCAATCGAAAGATTGTTGAAAGATTAATAAAAAAAAGGGTGATATTTGCTTGTGGGTGTTCTGGGTGCTTGTGAATGTAAAAGAAATTAACCCTTTGGCCTTGTCAAAAAAAAATTTAATTTGGACAAAACATATTTCTGGAGATTTTGCTTTGAGAGTGTTGACATCTCCGTTTCTAATTCCAAGAATCCTTTTTGGCTAAAATTTTTTTCCGTTTTAGTCTCTACTATTTTTGCTTGTTTCATCATATAATTTTGTGAAATTGATGCCAATTGTAGCAAATGCTGCTGTATCCACCTGAAGAAAGGATCACTTCAAAAGCTGCACTCAGTCATCGTTTCTTGGGAGATGTTCCAATACATATTGAACCGGTCGCGACGTTATTTGGTTCAGATGATGAATGAAGTCCTAAAGAAACCTCATGCCATTAAGTTCAAATCACCTTTATATATATTCTTTATTCTTCTTTATAATTATTTGGTAGAAATACTCACTAGCAGGACTTTCTTTATATAGGATCTTGGTGACAGCAAATGAGAAATATCTGATCCCATTGCCGTCCATTAAACTTTTTACTAAATAATTGCATTCTTTCTCTCACATAAAAAAGATTGTTTTCTTCTCTCTCTTTATAGTAAAGTATTTTCGTGCTTATAAATGTTATGGTACATCCATTATGTATATAACAAATCAGATTTGATGTTTTCTTCAACTGAAAGACTTACTAATTTATTGTGCTCAAATGTTCATCGGTGAATTTGGATGATTCTTTTTCGACTTTTGAATCGAAAATATTTTACTTAAATTTAATAGAAATTCATCCAGCTTTTCCAGCTATTGAAAGATGGAGAATGACTGATTTGAGGGACTACACTCATTGCATTCTCAGTACTGGATGGTAACTTTATGGATTTTTGTGGCTCTTTAAAAAAGAGGTTACAACTAACTTGCCTGAGGAGCAACTAGGCTCCAAATTTCTTCGAAGTAAAGGATTGCATTATAGAGGTTCTTGCTCGTTTATATTTTATTCTATTCTAGGTGATGATTGTTGAGCAAAAATTATCAGAAGTTAAAGGTGGAAGTTAGGTTGTAATACATAGTACATTGAAGATGTTGGTACGTGTTCTTAAATTAGGAAAAGATAGGAGGTGAGAGAGATAGCTGAAGTATGCATTCGTTGATCGGTAAATTCTATGTTCTGTTTTTGTCTAAAATTTCTTGCAGCATTTGTTATACCTTTCGTTTAAATTATGTGCAATAAAATGTTGCCATTGGGGGGAACTCAGCAGTGAACGTGGGATTAGAATTTAGAGATTAAAATTCATCTTTAGCAAGGAGAGATAATTATTATCAAATGTACTGCTAGAAAGATACTTTTGCAGATCATTTTAATTATCGGCAAAATATTTGCAATAGAGGCTTATGGACTTTTTATCGCTTACAAAAAAAATTGTTTAATGTTGTTCCGCCAACTACAGCTGGCGTCTGTTCTGTCATCAATTGTATAGCCCAATAACAAAAGTACATTAACTTAAGCTATGACAATATATAATTCTTGAGAGAGAAGAACGGGCTTAGAAGTAACTTTAACTCGTTCTATACAAGCTACCTGGAGAAGGTCTGACCAAAAGAATATTTCAAATACTGACAGTTCCGCCGTCTTCTCTATTTCTGTGATAACAATAACACCGACGCTAAAGTCCATTTCTATTATTGAGATGGAACAACCAGTAGTGGAACAGCCTTGCTCAATGACGAAAGTCACGATTTGCCTTTATTACCGGAAGAGAGCACTATTTTGAGTTGGTGGTACCGTTTTGGACTAATATTGCTGTCATAGATTGATAGCTGCATGTCAGACTGATGTGCCAGCGGTGACAGATTGGATTTTGTTGGGAGTGGTGCCAGTGTCGACTGATAGTGCCAGCCTGACTTGACTGTACCAATAATGCCATGAGTAAATTAGTATTTTTGGAAATATTGTAATTTGGAAATTAAGCAGTGGGCGACAACTTTTTATTTCAGAAATTCGAAGAAAAGGATTTAGACGATGTGAGATAAAAAATCCTTTGGGGTTAAGCGATGTGGAATGATGATGTCCGCGAATTTGAGTATGGTTGGGCAGATGATACCGATCCAATATCCGAGTCACAAAAACCAACCATTGTATTAATGGGATTGAAAAGGTTCTTTTTGAAATATCGTGATTATTATCAGAAAGTGGTTTATTAAAAATTGGTGACAACAGTAAGATCGAGTCATCTTTCTAATGTTATGAGCAAAAGTTATCGTATGGCATAGAGAGTTAGACAAATACAAAGCACAATTACGTAAAAACATAGTTGATATCATATCTTGTTGCTTCACTGAGTACACTTTTAGGAGCGGAAAAACATCAATACGAAAGGTTGTTTTCAATAAAATGTCACCGAATGAGACATTGTTTGTTGAGAGTACACCACGTGTGACAACGGAAACAGTTAAGGGATCTTTCATTAATTTCGAAGCAATTGAATTTCCTGGTCAAATGAGTCCTTTTGATAACGCAATGAATCCTCACGATACATTTGCTCGCTGTGGTGCATTACTTTTTGTTATTGATGCTCAGGTTTGTTATATTGTGCGATTTTCAACTATTAGAACGTTCCTTGTAGTACTGTAATTTAGTAATTGATTAACGAATTTAGTTTTGTTTGATTAGGAGGTTTCATTCCATTATTTTACGCAGAAGAAATGCAGACAATTTTTCAGGATGACTACTCCGAAGCGCTAAAAAAAATGGTTGAATATTTCAAGAAAGCATACGAAATCAACGACAAAATTAGATTTGAAGTGAGCTATTTCTGCCAAAATTTTGGATTTGCTAAATACTGTCACTGACAGAATTGCGATGCTTTGGCATAACAATCATGTGTGTACTTGATCATTGGAAATTTTCAAAGTTTAAAAAAATTCCAAGGAAATTTGCTGTTTTTGACTAATCGAAGTGATTAAGGCATTTGGTAGAGGAAGAATGTTTGAAATGAAACTTAGAGAATTAACTAAGTTTGGACTGGATAGAAAACTAATGAAGTTTTATGGCTTCTAACTGTATATGTCCATATTAAGATTATACGATCTTGATGCAAATTTGTAGATTTGAGACTTTTAAGATCTGTTATTGGATGTATATATGTAAAATTTGATATTTCGGCAATTTTTACAGCACAGATTTTATTTTACACTAGTTTTAGGTATTTATCCACAAAGTGGATGGGCTAAATGAGGAGATCAAGTTAGAAACACAGCGTGATATATTTCAACGTGTGCAAGATGATCTTCAAGATGATAGCCTTGATAAGGTCCATGTAACGTACGTTTCAGAACATGGATTTTTTGAATTTACCAAGTATTTTTTTGTTCGTTGTGTCACTTGTCATTGGATTAGATTACTGTATTTGTTTCAGATATCATCTGACTTCTATTTATGACCATTCAATATTCGAGGCATTTAGTAAAGTTGTGCAAAAGCTTATAAAGCAGCTATCAACTCTTGAGCGACTGCTTGATATTTTCAATCAGGTAAACATTCTTTCATTATTGAAGAGACTATTCTATTTCTTATACAGGATCAAAATTATTTGTCTCCAGGTAATCCCCCTTATCTAAGTATGCTGCACCAGAATTATATATTATGCTGAATTCTGTAAATGTACAATTATTTCAGCTGTTACAATAACTAGTTAGACTTAGACTTAAATTCATGCTTTTCGTTTATCTTTTGTAGACCATAGAAGTTCATAAGCATTATATTATAGAGTTCAAATGTTGAAAAAGCATTTCTTTTTGATGTGGCAAGCAAGATATATATAGCAACTGATTCATCGCTGGTTGATATGGCAACATACGAACTTTGTTGTGACATGATTGACGTAACCATTGATATATCTTCTATATATGGGTGAGCATCTTACTTGATTGGAAGTAAAAATTTGTTTTTAATTATATGAGAAAAAAATGCCATTTGGCTTATCTCTGCAGCAAGAAAGTTTTTATCAATAAGAAGTTCTTGCAGATGTTCAGATGACTTATCGTGCACGGTGTTTGACTCTCAGTCATCTGCGGTGATACATTTGCGAACTGACCAAGTGTTATTTTTACGACAGGTATTCATCTAGTTATTACATTCCATGTTACTCAATTAGAATTGTGCATATACCAATTAGTAAAATTTACTACTGTTCATATAAAAAAGAGATTACAGGTCAATATGTTTCTTGCTCTTGTTTGCATCATACGCTCTGAGAACTTCGAGAAGCAAGGCCTCATTGACTACAACTTTCAGTGTTTCAAAGGAGTAAGCTTCACTGTAAAGTATTTTCCCTTGTAAATCAAGTTTTAATTCAATACAAAAGGTCTAGATACTAAATACTCTTTTTAAAAATCTAAATACTAATCAGAATCAGACATGACAGGATATGCTGAGGTAGGGAAGGTTTGTTCGGCTTGAACATTCGGGTTTGGAAAAAATGTTAATCGCCTAAATTTAGATTACCAGTTCTTTGATTGGTTATTTGAAACCTAAATTACGAAAGCAATAATTATTTCGTTGTTGGGAAAGCTGTTCGGCATACTCTTGTTTTGCAGGCTATTGAGCGTGTGTTTCAAATCCGAAATAGACTGAACTCTAGAATAAACAATTCGGAGCCAATAACCGAATGAAGCATTTTAAAATGCTTGAATTTTTAAGGTGCTCGTGCATGTAGTAATCACTGTTTTTCCTATTCTTGTTTAACTCGATATTCTCCTTGATCTTCCTTTTCTAGCTTTTATATGAAATACAGACTGTGTTTTCTTTTTTTAGATGAATGAAACTCATCTTTTCTTGTTTCATATAATTTAAGGCGGAAGGGAGGATGCATTAATTTGATATAATTTATTTTTATACTTTACGGTGAGTTCGAAGAACTCTATAAGACTGTAATTAAAATAAAAGATTTTAGATTTTATTTCATTTCAGCGATATATGAAACCCTCAGTTTTTATGAAATAGTAGTTCGCAGATCTATATCGTCTTCTGCGAAAAATTTTTGAATCAGTCTTGAATATCCTGATTCGGCTTGAAGAGATTTAGAGACACAGCCTACTGAAATTTCACATATGATTTAGAAATTGCTGTCAATGACGAGCGGATAATAGGGACATTTCCATTATGAAGAATATAATACCAAAACTACGTACATTCTGCGGTTTTACAATATAGTTTCGAAGGATAAAATGGTCTGACCCATAATAGCGTTATTATATGAACCGTTTAATATTATCTTCACTTCCATTTAAAGCTCAAAAAAGAATCTGCATACATTTCTTTCAAAGAACAAAGTAAGGAAACTTAATGTTCCAGCATATTTTTAATTAGTATTTTCCGGTAATTTTGGTCCAAGAGTAAGTAGTTTTCGAAAGGAAGTGATGGAGCATTCTGAAAGCCGATCATTTTTTTTGTTAGATTTTTGACTGTATCTCCAAATTCGCCCCTCCCTACAGCAATGTTTTGGATCTGGTATGCTCATTAATAAATTTAACATGAAACTTTAGACTGCTAAATTTACAGATTGGAAATTTCGACCGATAACTAGTCGTTTTACAAGGTCAATGCAGACTACGCATATTATTCACAAAAGCGATAGCAGCAATAGCCGAAATCTTTATGCTAGCTAAATTATTATCAAAAATACTGAGTTTTTGAAGTTGCAGAAAATCACCAACTAATAAAAGGCCGCCAAAACAAATGTTGTTCTGCTACCAACAGTATTAATATTTAAAGCAATAAATGAATATTTTGATTATTATACAGTTAATATCATGTCATTAAGGGATTTTGTTTTAACATATCATTAATAAAGTAAACTTTGAAATTTTTTCACCTTTTAAGATGATATATTATAAATTAGGAATAAGCAATAAGCAATAACAATTATGCTGAAAAGATCACTTATCGACTGTTTATTCGCGGGAGTGAGTTTTTTTTGTCTTAATTTTCTTACCTGAAAAATTCGAAGTGTATTCATCCAATCATTCGCAATTAAGTTCAAACTTAAATTTGTTCTCTTAAATTCGATATATGAATTAAACTCTTTCAAATGTTTTCTTCTTTGATTTCTCTTTTTCTTTCCTTCCTTTCATTTAACTAACTTAATCTTTATGATTTTGTCTTTATTAAGGCAAACTTTTTTCTCATAAACTAAAGGTCAAAAGGTTAAATGCTTCATTTTCCAAATTTATTCCTAACCGCTATTATTTTGATATAAAATTATCTTAGCTGAGAGTTAGGCAGAAGTAAATAATATAAACGAACCATATAATGATTGTATCGCAGCAATATCACATTGATGCAATTTTGGTACAGTTCCTTTGAAACCATGATAATATGATGCCATCAATGATTCATCATCGTTATGTGCAAGTCCTAAGACATGACCTACTTCATGTGCCATAACCCAATCCAAATTTCGACCAGTTGGACCCCTCAAAGAGTATCATAATTATTAATTTGTGGATATTTAAAACAAATTAAAGCAGTCATCAAAATATCCGCATTATATTCTAGAATGTAGAGTTCTGAATAAATTCTTGAATCCTGCCATCGCATTCTGAATAAATTCTAAAAATCCTAAAATTCCAAAAATCCATTTTAACTTATAAAAATATCTTAAATTTAAAAAAAAAAGCATTTTTACACATAGCATTCAAATTTTTAGAAGAAATATTTAATCTTAAAAGCCTGAATTAAAAGGTCAACGAACGATATAGAAGAGACCATGGTTCGCTATCATCGATATGAATTTGTCCATGCCATATATGATCATTGGGATAAAATGAATGCGCTAATTCATTTCCACTTCCATCAAACGGATATTTATCATTATGATAAAATGTTGCAAAGATTACCTCAATATTTGCTTTGTTATAAGGCCATTCAATGAATTTAACATCAATTACATCTTCCCATAACTAAAAAGAATTAAATAATTTAGCAATTAACCAATTAATTATTCAACAATTGTTTTATTTCCAAATTATCAAATTCACAATTTGACAAATATATTTTTCTTTTTCTTTAATTAATTTAATTAGGTTTAAATTAAATTTCATATTTAATTGTATTTTTACTTTTATTATTGATCCAAATACTAGTATATTCTATTAAAATGTTTGATCTAATAGAGATAACTTTTATCGTTGCATAAATTTCAAAATTTCAATTCTACACAATTCTTAATAATCTTAATTAGCATACTTTGATAGCTTTATGTAATGTAACATTGACATATTCCATAAATTTCATTTCATCCATATTTTCATGTAATTCTTTACGTGGATATTGAGCGATACGATAATAAATGATTTTGCCTTGTAAACGACCATAATAATATGCATCATTTTCTTAATTAAAAAAACTTTTAATTTGCAAAATTTAAATTTATCAAAATGAAAATTTAAAATTAAAATATCTTAAATCTTAAGTCTTAAAATAAGTGTGCACAAAGAAGCATGAATCATATCTATATCTTCTGATCGGCTCCCAAAAACTATTTCATTATATCCTTATCTAACATCAAATCAAAATGTTTCATTATATCTTCATCAAATATTAAATATTTCACTATATCCTTATCTATCGTCAGAATTTCAGGTTGATGCACACT